GCAGTGAGCTTCAGGTTGAGGTATCCTGCCAGGTCTTTGACCCAGACGGACGGGTTGTCTGGGAACAGCGCCTGACTGCGAGCCAGCTGCTGCTTCAGATCCCCGATATCCAGCTGAAATTAAACACCAAACAAGGCCGCCTTTGAAAAAGCAGCTCATCAAGTGACGCTCTGCGGTAAAAACATCTCAATGCAGCTTTGTTCAAATCTTTTTAAATCCAGTAAATCAAGTTTGAAATCTGGATCTGATTTCTCTTAAGCTCTTAAATCGAATGATAAAATGTGTTTACTTACAGCTTTGAAGGCTTGCTCCAGCGTTTTGTGAGTTGTCGGCGTGTTTGCGCTGCTGGGTTGGGATTTCTTGGATGGTTTACTGGATGAGGGCTTCTTGCTCTGAGGCTCAGCTGGCGGTGGAACCTGCTCCTTGTTCTGCTTCTTTCCAATCTTCTCAAAAGCCTCGAACAGCGTCTCCGACATTTTCACCGGTGCTGAGGGGAAACAAACCGGCAGAGGTAAGACGACTGCAGATAACGGCAGAGCAAATGTCTCTCTCTCTTTCTGTTTTCAGGAAAGTCAAGTCACTGATTCTGGTTTTTCCTCCCCTCCGCCTCCCGTCACGGTTTACGCAACAGGCTGTCGGCATCCAGAAGAAATTTTATCAAACTTTCACAACTGAATTTCCAAAAGCAAAATAAGTTGTCTGACCTACTCAGATTCACTTGCGTCATAGAAACACTGTTCCACCAGCAGAATCAAAATTTACATGCATTTATAGGCGTGTATGAAAACGCATAATTGGAGGGAAAAAAAGGGCAAAATTTCATCAAAAACATTTATATTAATCTAAAAAAAAAAACAAGAATATTTTTGAGTTGGTAAATTCAAAAATTTGTGCAAAAAACAAAAAATTTGAGATTAATCTCAAACATTTTCTACAAAAAACCCCAAAATTTCTGAATTTGAAGAATCGCTAGGAAAAAATTTATTTTTAGAAATTTTCTTGGGAATGTTTTGAAGTGTTCCTCTCAGACACATCTGACCAGTTCAAGAAAGTTACAAAAACAAACAAAAAAAATCTAAAAGCTTGTCATTACCAAGTCTTCTGGGACTTTGCATATAAAAATATTTTTGCTGATTTTAACTAACTGAAAATAAGAGAAATTTGGTCAGATTTAACTTCAGACAGCAAGAAAAGAAATGTGTCTATGTCTTTAAATTATCTACAAATATCTGGTTTGAAGATAAATTAAGATTTGATTAATTTGACTTTTAGTCAAATGTTAGATTCCACTTTACTACCAACTGTGCAGTTTGAATATCAGTAACATTCAAGGACTTCATACAGAAATCAAACCTGAAAGTTTTGGGAAATGCAAATAATGGCAGCCTTTTGAAAATCAGATAGCAAATGTAAAGTCCTAAATGTATATAAAAAGATACAATTTAAAATGTCAAATTCAATAAAATTTTTGTTTTAAAAAATGAGTAGCTGCTCTGTTACATCCATGTGAATTAAATGTATTGGTTATTTATATTATAGCTCTTGAAAGAAAATTGTAGATCAGTTTAATTGAGTCCTGACAGCTTACAGGCTGCATATCTAGTAGGAAATGTGGGTGAAATCTGTGGTATGCGAGTCTATTATTTAACACAAAATGGCTTCGTAACACATTTACTGAAGGAAGAATATCAACTTCTCCACAAAGATCAGATGCTGCTGGTTTTAGATTCCGATTACTCTTCAATAAAGGCAGATTGCAAATAAACTAGAGAACATTTTTATTAAGCAGAATGATTTATTAGATGCACAGTATAGAATTATTTGTAGTGGAATTCTGTGTAAACATGCAAACAGATTTAGCAAATAATTATCTTACTGGATACAGTGATAATAGGATGCTGTTTGGTGTTAATTTAAGATTAATTACTTGTCAAGAAAAATGTAAACATAAAGACAAAAAGTGCCTTTAAAGCAAAACGTTAACAGAGCCTCTCTGCTGATGTTGTTTACTGAACAAACAGACTTTGGACAGGATGACTCAGGGACAAAAGTGGAGCATAAACGGATCACAAGGTCAAGATCTTATTACTCATATTGTTAGATACAGAGAGCATCTGCTCGCTGCTTTTTACTATTAAATTAGATCAATACCTTCTCAAAAATATCCAGAATCAATAAGTCTGAATGCTCAAAGTAATCATTTCCAAAGTTTATGAAACTCATTTAATAAACCATGGATTCAGGAACATTTACTGTCAGCTGTGTTGTTTTGCTGATGTGGCAACTTGGCGCTCTCAGCCCAACCAGTAATCCAGCTAAATGCTTTTCAAACTCTGGAAACCTCAGATGGGACATCCACATTATGTTACAGCCACTTATTCTGCTTTCTAAAAGTTGAGGATGTACAAGATAAATAATCAAAATGTGTATTTTGTGACTTATAAATAATGCAAAAAGATGTTCAGCTAATAAACATGCGGTGAGATGACAGGAGGATCCAGATTTCGGGTAAAAACAATAAAATAAAGCAAGAAGTGACCAAGGGAGTTTCCATTTTTACTTTGAAATACAGGCTTATTATTACAGCTGCACAATATCAATAATACATAACTAGTCCTAGATGATAACAAAGGTTATGATTAATGTATTTATTCTCTATCACTTTGAATACATCCTACAGGGCAAATAATCTTTTTATCAACGATTTATGACATATCATATTTGCAAGGGATGCTATGTATTTAAACTCTGTATTCAGTGTTGCATTGACATTGCTCCCAAATGAGGAACAAAAACAAGGACGTGTTTACGCCTCTGATTTATGTTTGTAAAATTGCCTTGTTGCTTTAATGTATTTTTTTGGTCTATTTTAATAAAAAAAAAAATCTACAGGAAATGAGGATTTACTGTCCTTAATGACAGTTTAAAATAAAGTCAAACTGTCCTTAAACTTTAAGGAGAGTTAAAGTTTAAGAACACTTAAACTTTTAAATGTTTTAGTGTCCTTAAACAGTTAAAGTTTAAGGACACTTAAACCTTAAGTGTCCTTAAAGTGTTACTTATCAGGATAATTGTTTCAGGATAGCTGAAACAGTTGCCTGGAAATACAAACAGTCTATTCAATATTTAGTTGCTATATTAAATATAACAAATCACTTCGGAGTTTAAAACACAGAAAAATTAAAGCTTTTCTGTGTTTTCTGTGCAGCTCAGGAGGTCTCCTGAGCTGCTAGGAAGCTGCTAAATGCTAACGCTAGCTCATTAGCTTCTTACAGGAAAACTCAAGACCGAGAAACCAGTCAGTGGCTCGTTTTTAATTTATGCGTCTGTAGATTTGTGTTATAGTTTGTCAATTTGAAGGGGAAACATTACCGAAATAATATTAAATAATGCAGAAACACTGGATGAAAGCTAGCACTTACAGTTAGCTTGCCAAATCAGTTGACAGCTGTGAGACACTCAGCAGCTCTGTCAGTTGACATTGTGGACATTTTTATTTTAAATAAAACACACACAGCTATGGACACAGCAGCCCTTTGCATAATGTTCATTAGTGAAATGAAAATCCAATAGGAACAGGAGCTAGCTAGCAAGGCCAGGCCTTGTTCACTTACGTCTGGACGGTTGGTTCGACTCCCCGAGGGCTTTCCTTCCCCCGTTTCCGCCATTCGACTTCCCTCCTCCCGGGTTACTTTTTCTCCCTTTCTTCACTACCTCCCACTTCCCGACTGAGCCGTTGTTAGAGGCCATGTTTCCAGTCCAGATGGGTCAGCTCGTAGTTCGTGAGGCACCGTGACTTTAATTTCTCTCTTCCTGCTGCTAACGTGTGACTACGATGAAGGTTCACTCCGTCAGCTCTGATCAACGGCTTTGCCACGTCTCGTCGACGACCTGACGTCAGCAGGCATTGCGTTTTAAACCGTTAGCTTTCATTTCAGACCACGCTAGGAACTTCTATGGCAAGTCATGTTAACATTTAATAGCCAGACTAGCGAAGCGCTCCAAACATCTGACTTATATAATTGTAACGATGAATATACAAAAACTCAAATTTCTGCTAGCAATAATACCCTTGTCGATATATTTTATTAAAATTTTCACTGGTAAGGACATTGCTTTCTAAACGAGGTATTACAGATTGATGGGGTTGTTGGTTAAATGCTAAAAAGGCTTGCCACAAAGCAGTTAAAAGTCACTTCAAAATTAAATTGTGATTTGACATTTTGTTTTTAAAGTGTCCTGTTTCAGTGTAGAACATTTTTTAATTTTTCACATTTCAAATCTTTTTACCGCTTCGATAATATACCAAATGAACAATGTTTTAATAAAACAAAGTAGTACAATTTTTCCCAAAAAGAATCTGTAAATGCATTGTGTTGCTGTGTTATTTTAAAAAAACTTCATTGGAGTTTATTATCCAATAAGAAACTCCAATATTATTGTAGTTTAGCCTTTTTTGTTACGTTTCCCAACAAAGGCTAAGCAGTATAAAGTGTAATATATAAAAGCAGAAACATGTTTAACAACAACAAAAAAAAAGCCTTGTATTTATTTAGCCTTGTAGCTAAATAAATACAAATAAGAAAATTTTATTTGTAAAAATATTGAATTAATTGTGAATTCACTACATTCTTGCATTGTGAACCAAGGGGCCAAACAAAATCATCCAGAGGCCTGCAAATGGCCCTTGAGCCACATTTTGGACATCCCTGTTCTGACGGTTGAAGGCCTGAGTTCTGGTTAAAAATCAGAAGCTCAGTGTCACAACTGTATTGTTCCAATAATTATCAGCCATTACATGTTACTATTTATCGCACCATTCCCAATCTTATTAAATTTGCAAAACAATAAATATCATCCTCAGTTCAAAAACCTTAAAACCAAACAGAATCAAGTTTTTCGCAACCTGACAATAGGAATATTAGTGTTTTTAAGCTATACAGTAAAAAATCTGACATCATTTATCAGATAATCTGATCAACAAACGAAGCAGCAAACAGTTTTCATTTTCTTGAAACCTCAGAGCTTTATTTCATTCCAGCAGTAAATCCAAATGATGCAAGTTGGTCACCCAGCCGTGGTGAGAAGCTCTGCTCTCCGGCTGCTCAGCCTGGCTATCAATCACAACAAACCAAACCTCTGCTGTCCTCGGCAGCCATGTTGGCGTTTTGACGCTTTGCAAAATGTGAAAACTCAAATGCGGCAACAGAGGAACAATGGTAGCAGCTAACATGTTTAACTAAATAAACACAGTCAAACATTAGTATTTAGTAGTGTTGGTCTGCAGTGTTTGTTCATTCATAGATTTTATAGCCTGATATTTGTTTGATAAATAAAAAGACACCTTTGACTTGGCCACTGAGGAATTCAATGCAAATAAAAAAAGAAAAGAAAAAACATACTTCTTTAGAACAAATCTACAAAATATAAAATTGCATCTTCCTGTGACTTCCTGGCAGCAGCCAGTCACTGCATGTTGGCATTTTGGATCATTTCGCTCGGCTTGTTTCGCTACATTTAGTGCAAGACCTTCGATCTCCCCAAATCCAAACCACTGTCTGTTTTTTTCAAAAACTGTACAGAGCAGATTAACAAAGATAAATAAATAGAAACATAAATACACCATGCGGTGGTCACCTAACGAGCCGTCAGAGCCGTTTCATGATGAACCCGATGTTTTCCCTCAGGGCGATGAGTCGCTTGAAGCATGTACATGTGTGCTGTTCAGAGTCTGATATGTCTAATCGTTCACTTGTCATCATGTAATCAAAATATTTCCATTTTGCAGGCCTTATTTCTATAATCTCAGCTCGAAAAGAAACAATCACATTGCTTGTAAAACTTGGTAGTGTTTCATTTCGTGTGTAAACTCTTGGTGCCGTGCAAAGGAAGCGGCTTGACTCCTGGAAACCGCGGCCGGCTTTAAAATCCCGTTGTGACTCTGAACGTGACTCACCGCGCCGGGCGTCTGTCCTCTGGAAGCAGGTTAGAGTTAGTCAGCCGAGCCGAGCCGGTCCAGACCCATCTGGGTGAGCGTCCTTTGCAAGTCAAAGTCTGGGGGAAGCTATCCGGTCCAACAAAGTCGTCATGGACATGTGAAGCCGTGAATGAGATGGAGGAAGTCAGAGAGTTTAACAATGAACTTATGGGGATAAAACCAGGCAAAAAAAGACTTGATGGTCTGATTAAAGTATGACAGGTGACAGATGGAGGCGGAAAAAAGAGGAAGATTTCAGAACTCCTGCTGATCTCGTCCTTCATCGATTTCTTCGTCTTCTGGAGGCGCGAATCCTTCCTGTGGAGACAGTTTGAGTCAGTTTCTGTGTCCGTGTTGCTCGGATGCCACTCAATGTTTCCATAAACGTTTTCTTTAACGTTGGTTCACTGGAGTCACGAGAGTTGACACAAATTTGCCCATAAAGTACAATTGTCTCAGAAAAAGCTGCATCTGTTTTCTGCTGCACACTGAAGACACAAAACCCAATTAATTATTTTTGTCTAGTTTCTAGTGCAAATATCAGTACGCTTGAAATAAGACAAAAAAACATACAAAGTGTTTTACCTAAACAATTCCTTAACATTGATGGAAAAAAGTAGCAGATTATTTAACTTATGACATTTTTCCATGTTATAAATGAAATAATTTGCCAATATTTTCATCAATATTAAGGAATTATTTAAAACAAGCTCCTGAAAAGGTACTTTTCAGTTAATGTTCTATCATTTCAAGACATTTGCACTAAAAAAAATCCAAAATACTTGGTAAGATTTAGTTTTTGCAGTGCTGTGTTATATAAATGTATTTCTGCATTACTTTGTCTGTTTATGAAAATCAGGTTTTGTATTTAAAGGGATAATTTTCTGTTTCCAATCTTTGTTCTTGGAGTATTTCAAATGGTAACCTGGCAAAGTAACTATTACTTATAAGATTAAAAAAGTATTTGCTGAAAAGTTTACCCAAGTGCTGAGTAAACCATTATGGTAATCATTTAATATTTTAAAACTACATCATTAGACTTATCAAAATAAAATGAAACTTTTGGTATTTTAAAGACCAAATTGAAAATAATTTTTCTAAATAATATCATTGCAATTAAACCAAATCAGGCAAAAGAAACTGTTTCCCAAACTGTCAATGTGAAACTAAATAAAATCTGCAGGTGTGTGTTTGGTGAATGTTACAGCGTTGTAAAATACTTTTATTTCAGATGAAACTCTCTGGATGTGTTTTCTTCTTTGTGTTTGTCTCGGTGTTTTCTCTGTAAACGTGTCGGTGTCTGACTGTGCCGCACTTCCTTTACCTCTGTAGCGTACAGTATGTCGATGATTTTGCCGAGAACCGGGTTGTTGTCGTTTTCGTTTTCCTGACAGATGAGCTCAATGTCTCTCAGTTTGCCGAAGTAGAAGTCTCTCTCCTTCTCCAGCCCGTCGATGGTCAGCTTCATGTCCATTATCTGCAACCAGACACCAAAAAACACAAACTGGGACACTCAACCAGTTCAACATACTGGGCAGCTGCCTGAGACTCCTCATGCAGGTGTTTGGAGCGGACAGAACCGCGGTACCTGCTGGTTTAGCTCTACAAGTTCTGCGTCTCCACCGTTGCGGGTCACTGGGTTGTTTCTGCGGGCTGCTGGTGGGTTGATCTGTCTCTGGGGGACGGGGACGGTCTTCGGCGCTGTGGGAGACGTCCTCATGGGGCCTGAGGCACAGAAACATAAGTCTTTATAGTTCTGGAGCAGGTTGGGTAAATGTTTTTACGCTCCATATTTTCCTTACTTTTGCTGCTTTTGATGTTTGGTAAACGAACAGAAAAGCTTCACTCTGACATTTTGATTAACTTCACTTTGAAGATAAAACTTAAGGCAAACCAGAACACTTCAAAGAAATAGAAACTGCCCTCAGTTTTCCTAATCGGATTAATTAAATGAGGCCAATAAAAGCTGTTTTTGAACATCCCAGGATCCCTCCATAGTAAAACGTAAACTTTCTTTCCAGTTGCAGCTAACAATTATTTTAGTTTTAAATTTGCTAACGATTATTCTGACAATTAATAGGTTAACATGATTTAAAAGACACATTCTGCATATTTCTTTTTGTACAATATTAGAAAAACATTCAGAGTTCAAATAAACAACTTATTCAAATCTTTTTTTTAAATAAAAAAGGACCATTTATTGCCTAAATAACGTAACATTACTTTTGTGAACGGTTGATCATCTGCAGCAAAACGAATACTTTCCAATCAAACAATCAATCAATCAATCAATCAATCACATTTATGTTGTCAGCACATTTCAGCAACAAGGTAGTTCAAAGTGATTTACGTCATAAAAAACAGAGTCAACAACTGAAGCATCACATTTTGTCAAGTGGCATCAAAATGTTTATTAATGTTTCATTTATGAAATTTCAAAAGCAACTCTGAACAGGTGTGTTTTAGTCTGGATTTAAAGGAACAGTGTTTCGGCTGTTTTACAGTTTTCTGGACGTTTGCTCCACATCTGTGGAGCGTAGAAGCCGAATGCTGCTTCTTTCAACATCGACGTGTGAAAAGTTTGTCTCTTTCTGCTTCGGGCTGATCTGTTGATTAGTTTTGGGTTCACTGATCAATAATTTGATAACAGAAGCTGTTTGATAGGAGATTTCTTTTGCAGAATTTAAACCAGTTGAAGCTAAAAATGGCCCTTCATTTTTATCTTAAATAAAAAATGTTTATGTTTTCTGGCTTATTTACACACTCTGAGCTTATATAGACCTTTAAACCAAAGCTTGTGTTTATATTCCAACTAATGTGGCAATATGACGGCACAACAAAAACACACCAAGGCTGATCACAGCAAACCAGAACCACCGGATCAACAACCCAAACGCCGAGCTGATGCTATTACCTGAGTGAGGGCGTCGCTTAGGTTTGGGATGGATGGGTTCCCCTGGTTACAGAGGGGATGCAGTGAGGTGATGATTTATTAAATGAAGCTCTGAACCAGCTACACAGACACACACACACACACTCACACAGTGGTGTCATCTGTACCTGGGTTCGGTGGCGGCGGCGTTCCGTCCTGGCCCTGCCTCATCAGTAGCGGGTCGTACTCTTTACCGTCGTAGTTGGCGTCGAAAAACCTCTTGAACCACTGGAGGAACTCAAAGTTGTCCTGAAACTTTCCCTTCACCAGCCTCTCCACGGGAATGATCTGAGAACCGCAGCATGAGAGCAGAGGAAGATTAGCAGCACTGGAAAAGAAATACCTGGGTTTTAATCTCAGAACATTACAGTCAGAATTTGGAGAAAAATCACCCAGAATTTTAAGGACTTGACAGACAAAAAAAATCTGAATTGCATAAAAGCAAATCTTAATTCTAAGGCAAAAAAAGTCAAAATTCTAAAAAACAAACAAATAAACCATTTCTGACCTTGTCCACATTCATCCTCTTGAACGCAGCCTGTAAAACCTTAAAGTTGTGAATGTACTCGTGCTCCAGCTTGGCGTTGAACTTGACCTTTTTCAATAATATGCACCCCGGAAACAGCATGTCCATGAACTGGCAGTAAGCAGCGCCTGCAGCAGCAGGAAGAGGAGGAGGCGTTAATGGAATAAAATCTGTTTGGTCTGACTGGTGCTTTTGAAACGCGGCTGCTAACCTGAACAGAGCTGCTCGATCTTTGTGTAGGTGAGCTGCAGGGAGTCGTTGACCCAGGCCAGCATGTCATGGCGGCTCAGGTTGTCCGCAGTCATGGAAGTGGAGTAGACATTCACCGCCATCCTCCTGATTAACAACACATGCAGCAACTAAAGAATTAGTGCAAAACGACAAGAAAGGCTGTTTCTTAGAGAAGCTCACCTGTCCTTAGCTTAAGTCGGTGTTTAATGATTGACAACAAGTCGGAGTTTGACCACCTAAGAGAAAAGATCTGAAGACAAAACCAAAAATAAATCATGTTTAGTACGATTAATGTAATTAATCACAGAAGGTAAAACTTGTTTTTAATCGCCTGGGTGAAGAAGAGCGCTCATTGTGTTGCTTTATGACTGTTTGATACAGCACTGCCACCAAGTGGTGGTACAGATGTATTGCAGTTATTGTAATTTAAAAAAAAAGTTTTGTAATTATATTAAAACATTTTTATGTGCATCTAATAAGGATTTGTCAAATCATTTGCAAATAAATGACCGTAGTAGAAATCTAACCCATTATTATATGTTTTCAAATATGTTTTCATAAATCCTATTAGCAAACATAGTAAATATTCATCAAATTTGTAAAATTGGCTATTTAATTGCTTTTTAAAAATAAGACTTAAAAAGGTAACAGATCGCCCTATCAACACTAAACCGTCTGAAATACTTCGAGAAAAATTTAAACATAAAATTACCCCTTCAAACACAAAACCTAATTTACATAAACAGACAAAGTCATGCAGAAATAAATTTATAAAACACAAAATCTTACCAAGTATTTTGTATAGTGAAAATATTTTAGTACAATTGAGACAAAATTAACTTACAGGTAATTTTTCAGTAACATATAGAAGGTAGTTTTAAATAAACAATTTGTTATTATTGATGAAAAACATCAGCAGATTGTGCCACTAATAACATATCATACATTAGATAATCTGCCAGTGAAACCAGTCCTTTTTCAGCAATATTAAGAAATTATTTATTTAAAACAAGATCCTATATCTTGTTGAAAATTTACTTTTGTCTTATTTCAAGTGTACTAAAACATTTGACCTATAAAAGGAAGATTTAGTTTTGCAGTGAAACCAGCAGGTCTGACCACTTCCTGCTCAGAACCTGCAGCTTGTTGCAGATAAACTGGTTTGCTCTAATCTGAGCCTGCGTTAATCCCTTTAGCCCAGTATTTAACGCGCTTTGCTTGGCGTCCCCAGCAGCAGCAGCAGAGAAATGCTCTGGTCCAACAAAACCAGAGCATTTTCTTTGGGCCAGTCCAACACCAGCAGCACACAGGAAGCTGGGCTGAACAATCACTTCACAGGTGGCGGTGTCAAGTTAATGATATCAATATGGCCGCCGCTGCCAATCTGACCAGTTTGACAGTAGCATTTATAAACAACAGAAACCAGTCAGAAGTTGTCTTTGAACAGGAGAACTGGTGAACGTCTTGTTAATATAAATAAATAAATCTCATTGTAACTAAAATAGCATTCAGGTCATATAAAAGGCATTCAGAAACATCAAAGTATTTATTTTTAATTTATCATCAGCAGAGACCATACAAACGTCTCTGTTTAAAAATAACTACTTTAAATGCTTCATTATTTACAAAAATCTGAGTTTTGACAATACGAGCTGCTTATTTCGAGGTTTGGAAATGTAACTAATGCACAATTCTTTTAATAAAATGAAGGAAATTAAATACAAATGAGTTGGAAACCCAGGTTGCTCTTTTGTTTTGTTAGATCTGTATATTTATATAAACTTTATTAAATCATCCTTTATTGGTAGAAGTCTTTGTAATAAGAAAAATATGACTTTGTTAATCATATTTGTGAATGATCTGATTAGGGTTTGCCACATAATCTGTAAATGATCCAGATGTAATTATATGGGTTTTATCATAACCACAAAGATCCCAACTTTAAAAATATGTTTACTGAAAAGAACAGTAGAAAAGTTTGTCATTTTATCTGCTAAACAAACCAACAATGATTAAATTTATTCAGAAATTCAAAATCCTAAACAAACCAGGCAATTCGGACGTTATCGTTCTCAATGAGAAATTAATTTAACAAACTGAAAACTATAGTCCAACTTAATCCAATTATAAAATCCTGCAGTTAACTTCAATTCATGTTAATTGGTAAAAATGATCAGGGGTCGCTGATCATTTTTAGAAGAATATCAACTGACCTCTGACCTTTCAGTCACTCAGGCATAAAAAGGAAACTTCCGAATTCAAGGAAGGAAACCGTGTTTTGTCAACACAGCCGACAACTTTCAAACAACCAGGTTAGACGCTCCGCCACTTCGCCAAGAGGAAAATTTCTTACCGTTTATTTAGTTAAAAAAATACATTAAACTAACAAAAACTGAATACAATGAGATAATTTTAACTTTTAGGTTCAAAATCAATTAATCTGACAGATTCTGGATTAGAGTTTTACTTTTCTTCTACATAATCATTGTTTTAAATGAATCTGTTAACATGTTTAGACAACAATAATACGATCAGAAGCAACAGGTGAAAAAAGCAAGTCCAAAACATTAAAATACTTTATTAAAAGTTTAGAGTGTAATCAATTATCATTTTGATTGATTATTTTAAAGCCTGGTTCTTAGCAGCCTATAATCTTCTTGTTGTACTTTATAGAGTTTAAAACACAGAAATGTTTCAAAACTCAAATAGTTTTGATCAGTTATTAGCATGAAAACACAAAAAACCAACTAAATGTCCAGGAAAACTTGGAAGGAAAAAGAAAAAAACAAATACTGAGCAGAAAACATCCAAAACTACAATACTGATTCAGACTGAATAAAACTATAATCCAATGAAAAATTAGGTTAATAAAACTATAGCTAAACCGTAAAGAAATAAGCAGTGGCTCAAAACATTTGCACAGTCACACATAAAAGTCTATAATAATTCCCTTTTGTTACAAATGCTTATTTTAAAATGCTAAAAACTGCTTATTTATGTATTAGTAGAATGCAAACATAAAATAAATGACTAAATCCTGGAAAGAAATGTAATAACAATAAAAAAGAACATCCCAAAATAATCCTCCTCAATACAGACTAAGATTAATTTAACAGTGAATAGTCAGAAAACTGGTTTATTAATCTAATTCAAAATCAAAGGCACAAAGAAGTTGTTGTTGTACTTTGATGTGTCATTAGTTTGGAAAAAAAACACTTAAAAATAGTTAAATCCAGAGGAAACTGAGTTTATAAACATCAATAAAATCAATTTATTGGTAAACAACAATAAAATTTGAATACAAAGCAATCATAATAAAAAGTATTCTTAGTGAGTCCTAATAAAAGTAGATATGGCTAAGAAAAGATTTAAATAATCTATTTCAAACACATTCAAATACCATGATGCGTATTTAAGTAACTATTTGTTTGAAGAGGAAGGCAGAAGAATAAACTTATTTTTGAGTCCTTCCTTTTGTATATACTATATTTATTTTTACACATTCTTCATTTAAGAAAAAAACAATAAAAGCAGAACTGTATTTCTTCTTTCAATCAAATAAAAACTAAGAAACTCATCAATAAATTTGGTTTTATTCAAATAACAAGACTTATTTCTATTTTCTGTTTTTTTAAAACACTCCTCTTCATCTTTTTATATATTTAAATTGTTATTTTTAATATTTTGTTCCATAAAGTGTTGAAATACATACTTTATAAACTCAATTTAACACATTTAATTCAATTTCTTCTTAAATTCTATCCTCTCTACGAATAATTTCTTCATTTTTACGAACACAATAAATTATTTCTCTCTTTAAATACTGTTTGTTATTTTTCTTTTCATGTCTATTTCATATCAATTATCCAATGACAAGTGTCTATTGTTGAGCTTCGGTCGCTGTTAGCAGCTTTTTAAATCGGTTTTCTCACGTTGTAAAAAGTGATATTATTACACATGTTAAGCGCGGTGGAATCGGGCTGATCCCCGAACCCGGTCCGGCTCGGTTTAGCGGCTCAGTCGGACTCTTTTTAACGGATGACGTTACAACCGTTAAATGCACTGACAGGCAAGCTAGCTCCCGGCTAACTCCACCGTTAACGGAGGCGAATAAGCTAACTGAGCTAAAGAGTGCTAGCAGTCCGTTTCAAATGATTCGGGTCGGTTTAATTTCATTACGGCGCTGCCTGTGAGCGGCTGGTCCGTCCGGGGTGCGACTGAAAACGAGACTTTTCCCCCATGTAAAGCACACCCCCCTCTGGAGGCCTTTTCGATAATACACACACGCGTCGCTCCAATGAAAGAATGCCTGTCTCCTGCGGGACGGGACGGGGTTTTATCTGTGGAATCCAATCTTTTTTTCTTTTGGGTTTTTTTTTGTTATTAATAACCCGCAGCTTTTGCCTTCAGAGTGCTCGGACTCTGAGTTAAGATAAGCAGGTATTACTCACTGAGGTGAGCGCTGTCCCCTTTCACCGCCGTGCCGTTGTTTCTGTTGCTGGGCTTTCCGTTGCTATCCGACTGCTCCCACCTAAGCTGCTGGCGCTGCGCATGCGCCGCGCAGGAGCAGATTGGTGTCGCAGTTTCCAGTGAAACTGGACTGTTGGCAAAATCCAATAGAGATACAATGGAAGTGCTAATATATTCTTATAATCCAGTTACATAGACATGCGTTTTCTAAAATCAAAGTTTATGCAGCATAAAAATTAATATTTAGGAAAAATAGTGTTGCTTGGCTGCAAAATACAAAGATTAGGGATTGTTTATACATCCAAAACATCCCAGTGGAGATATTCTGCATTTTTTTGTATCCTAGCAGTTGTAGGTTCCTTTCTACAGCAGTCAATGAGCAAAACACAAGATATACGCCATGACTCAGGACTTTGATGGAGTCAAAGCATATCCAAAGAAAGTTGAGTGGAAGGAAAAAGACTTGTAGGAAAAGGTACCCCAACAACAGGGAGTACTTCTGTCTGCAAAAATCTGCAGGGATTTTGTTTAGTTTCTACACATAGAAAAAAAAATACAAAATGATCAGGAATATCTGATTGTGATGAAAAGCTCTGTAACATTATTTTCCATTATATTTGTTATCAGTATAAAATACTGATTGTAAACACGGAAAACAAGATCAACATTTGTTCGATTTTTTAAATTCATTTATTTTTTATTCAGTTACTTTTATTCTTGTGGTAAGAAACAAGCAGCCACTTACAGACTTAACAGGTTCATTTTCCAACACAACTCCACAAACACAACCACTGAATCACAGTGCCCTCAGGAGAAAAACACAAAATGTCCAACAATATGATCACAGTTGTAAACAATCCTAGAAAAAGCACCAGTTTTTTAAATAAACCTGTGTCTGTTCACGTGGTTCTCTCCATGTGACGTTGACAGAGTGGCACAGGTGATTCCCATTGGCACATTTAATCTTTTCACATAGTAAAAACATGGTATTTTCACGGTATAGAGTACCACAATGTGACTATGCATAAATATATAACACTGGTAGGCAGGAATGAGACGTCATCCGGAGGATTTTCTTCAGATTTCAGCCTGTGCAGCTCAATCTTCCTGCTATAATACGGGATTGTATTATAATCTCTCTGTCTGTATCACATTTGCAGCCTCATTTATAGTAAAATGCATAAACAACACTGCAAAAAAAACAAAATTTTACCAAATATTTCTGGTCTAGTTTAGTGAAACTAAAGTCCACTTGAAATAAATGAAAACTAACTTAACTTTTCAGCAAGAAATATGAGCTTCTTTTAAGTCAATAATTCCTTACTACAAGTAAAATAATGGCAAATTATTTCACTTGTAACAAGAATTTTATATATGAAATAATCTTCCATTGGAGCTAGTATTTTTTAATCAATATTAGGGAATTATTAACTTACTAAAAAGTTGTTTTCAAGTTAGTTTTGTCTTACTTCAAGCCTACTAAGATATTTGCGTTATAAGATAAAGAAAAAATACTTGTTAGGATTTTGAGTTTTTGCAGTGAAGGAGTTCAAATTAACCACATAATTCTGCAGTAAATAAGCTGCCAGTGGTAGAAAACTGTAAACAAAAACAGATGAGTGAATGCTACTGTACAAAAAGGAAATGAATTGCTGCATTTTTGTTCTTTATTGGAGCATGAATTTAGAAATGAGGTTCATTTGTTTGTTTTCGCTCAGATGGCTCATGAGGAGGGACTGCATTCCCCCTCCATTCATTTCACTTACAATAAACTCCATTGTCATCGTCTGGTTAACAGAGAAACCATTTAACCCACAAATGAACTTTAACTCATCGCTCTTTGTTTTCCCTTTAGATGCCCCAGATACGGAGTTCTGAAAGGGACAAAACTAGGGCTGGGCTATACCTCTAAAAAATACAATTACCTTCTTTTATTTCATACCAGATCCGATCAAAATTGATTATTCTAAAAAAAAAAAAATTACCAATGGATAATTTCAATCATCCATTACAATAAGTTTTGTTTAATTCCATTCTGCTATAATATTGGCAGAATAGAAATGCTGTTTTACCAGAAAATCATCTTAAAATGATAAAAAAAAAACGTTAAACTCTTAGTCATGCTGATGTGTTAAAAGAATATTGCATTATCTTTGAAACCAATTCCAAAGTATAACTTCACAAACTTCTCAACATTCCTCAATTTCTGTTATTGTTTTATTCTCATACATTTACTACTTCATTCTGCTAATATTATGACTTTATTCTGGTAATATTAACATCTTACTGTTGGATTTTCTTTTACTTTATTCTCACATCACAACAACTATGTGGTTGTAATATTATGACTAGTGCTGCCATCTAAAACAAGATGGCGGCACTCTGAACTATCTGAACCCAAGAAGTGAATTGGTGGAAGCAAAATCCTGATATTCCAAAGATTAAATCCTAAAAAAAAACAATCAATAAAATTGATTTATCGCCCAGCCCTAGACAAACGTTACCTTCGAGGCGTTTTGTTGGTTCTGTTAGAGACAGTGGAAGTGTAAATACAGACAGACGGGAGTATTAGAAGCAGCTGGATTTCATCACCACACAGAACTGTTGGTCCACTGGAAACCAAAAACACTTTCAGTGGGGTCGTCCGGTCACAAACAGGATCCACGCACATCAATCACAAGAAACTATAACGCTATGGTGCACCGTGTGTTTGTCAGTGACGGGTTTGAATCCACTTATCTTTAAATAATTCTGTTTCGAACCGTTAAAACTGTACTGGTTTTGATCTGCCCCTGGTCAAAACGTAATGAGGCTTAAAAGCACCGCGGATTTATGTTATTATTACAATAAGCTAGAATTTAAGTTCAGAGCTAGCCCTTTTTTTTAATCCAGTTAACCACAAATTCACTGTTTAAACGTCTCTTACGCTAACCGCTAATTAATAAATACGTCAAAGTTTTACTTGAATTTGTTTTCCTTTAACATTTAAAGTTTTATTCTGTTGTTTTAAAATCAGTGCAGTTTTCCTGGTCGTTTGGAAATATAATAAAAACACAGAGGTGGAAACGGTTTGAACTCCAGCGCTAACGATTACCAAATGCCACTGGAGCGGCCACCAGGGGGAGCCAGAATCCGAGCAGAAGACCTCTTCGGGATGTGGTCGTCAACTTGAGAGCCTGAGAGGAAAATTTCATTTGAATGACACTTTTTTAGTTACAGCAAGGAAAAGATTAATTTAAAAGTTTAATTCAAATCACCTGACAGACTAAAGGAGGATTCGTGGAGGTCCCGGACGCCCTGGTGGGCCCGAGCCGCCGGCTTGTTTGGCGACTCGCCGTCGATCGGACCCAAACCGAGCTCCTTCTTCATCGTGTTCGCCACCTTGGCCACATCACCAGAATAAGGATCCCTTACTACTCCTTTATAGGCCTGGTTCTGAAAGAAGGAGTTCAAAGGTGAACAATAATCCACACAACTAAGCCTGTTGCGATAAATCAATAATAATGATAATGATAAATTAAAACAAACTTATTAATTTCTATTTGCATGATTAACTTTTTCCCCTTTTCTACCAAAAACTGAATGATAAAAGCCTTCAGTCTCAACACAGACTTCATAATTAAATTTATTTATGTATTTTGAATATTTAAAATGTCTCCCAGTTTCAGTGTTAAATGTTCATCAGAATTTAAAGTTTACTGATCTTTGAGAATGTGTTCTTGAATCATTTATGCCATTATAACCATTATATTAGTTGAAAATGGTTTCAAAACAACAATGTTATCAATTATTGGAATCTGGGACATTGTGTCATCATAACAGGCTTCGTTTGGCCTCTTGTTTTATATTTATATGTGTTTATTTTTGTAGTTTTTATTTTGAATTTGCTAACCGTAAACTACTAAATCTATGTTATAGTAGCACCACTTCGACATATTTTTACTCACGTAGAAGTAAAAAGTAGACGTTCAAGAAATTACTCAAGAAAAGTATCTGGTAAAAAGTAACTCAAGTACTGAGTAACTGATCAAATTATCTTAATATTTAAAAATTACATAATCAGACAAATCAAAGTATAGTTTTATTATTTTAAGGAGAAAATGTAAATGATTCATATAAGTAACAAAACACAACAACAGATGTTTCCAAATCAGTTTCTTTGAATAAAAAAGAATCTGATTGAATAAAAAAGAAACAAAAGTTAAAGTCTCATAACTTATGAAACTTTATCAAAAACTGCAGGTGTCTGGTGAATTTCTGGTTCAAACATGTTTGTTTTTCATTGAGCAGGTAGAAAATTCAGAAATTTTACCCAAGTAAAAGTGGCAATACTTCATAATAAAATCACTAAAGTAAAAGTGACAAGTACAACATAGTAAAAATACTCCTAAAAGTAAAATTTTCCAAACAAATGTAATTGAGTAAAAGTAACTATTTACTACATGACACTGACTATAAATAATTTTTTTAACATTTAGGCTTTCAATGAAGCGAGGTTACAAAACAGTGCCGTTTGAATATCAAGCACTTTCAAGGACTTTATACAGAAATGAATCACTTTCCAAATCTTAAAAATGTAATAATTTTCAATAAATAAATAAAATGCAGCCTTCCGTGAGCAGAGAAGAGCGCGTGGGATGAAGGGAGGTTTCACAGATTTCAGCAGGATAAAAACAGAGTCAGCGCATAAAGAGAGTATCAGCTCCAAATCCCCGACAGCCTGTCAGACCAGCGGAGTCAGACTCAACATGGCGGCTGCGCTGGCTGCCAGCTGACTCAGCACATTCTCCCTGATTCACTTTAACAAGTGGAGCAGAAACGCGGGGAGGAAGTGAACGCACCTTTTCTCTCTGGACCATCTTCTTGTAGAGGTAGTCGGGGAAGGTGCGCTGCGGGTAGAACTTCCCGGAGCCTTCGGCGCACATGAACACGCCGTTCTCACACACCAGGCGTCCCCGGCTGATGGTGACCAGAGGAACGCCGTGGCAGCGCATCCCCTCATACAGGTTGAAGTCTCCGCCCTGCACCTGGGTGCTCAGAGAGATCGTCCTGTTTGTGCCGAAAGCAGAGTAGAAAACTTAAATCCTGTCGGTCTCCTGCTTCATTTGTCTCTCATCCTGAAAAACTTGAACTAAACTCATAATAATCTAGGGATGCACCACTTCACTTCTTCACATCCGATGCCAGGACAGATATCCGTTACGGTTTACCTGGTGGCATCGGGGTCCCAGACGACCACATCAGCGTCGGCTCCAGGGATGATCCGACCTTTGCGTGGATACAGGTTGTAGATTTTGGCTGCGTTGGAGCTAGTCACAGCCACAAAACGATTCTCATCCATTTTTCCTGTCACCTGCAGACATGATGTGACATTTTAATACTGTGAAAAAAGAAAACACAGATTTGTCTGTTTGGTTAAAGGGGGCCTATTGAGAAAAATTCACTTTCTGTACGTTTTTGTACTTTCATTTGGCTAAATTTATATTTTTGGAAAATGAGCAACTTGCTGCATTCACATTGGTTGTGCAGGAGGCTCTACTTCTGCTTTTCAAAGATGTATGGTTCTATAATTTCACTTTTATTTGCAGCTGTTTTCATGAGCGAAGATCAATCGAAGATCAGCAGGAGCTACTTATTTAAATTTAAAGTGACAGAGGAAAGGATTACTCAATCATATTATTATTATCTAAGTATAATTTTCTGAACACGTGTTTTGTGAATATGTCTCTTGTTCAAGGAGGTATAATAGATCAACTTTAAAGAACAGATTTTGCTGACTAACAGTGTTTAACTAGTCACTTTTATCACTGCATGCTTGTGTGCGTACCACTCCTCTTTCCCAAATGACACTCATCCGGTCCTGGACTCCCGGCACTCCATGAGGGATCTTGGTGAAGTCTTCTTTGCCCAAAGCTCTCTGCTTGGTGCTGAACGGACGGTGCTCTGAAGCAACGACGCTCAGAGTGTCACTGGAAGCAGAACAAGCTCCATCATTCCAGTAACTCTGCTAACGAACTTATTAAGAACATTTTCTGATTCTACGACTCGTACTTTCCCAGCAGGCCCATGAGGTAGCTCGGCGTGTTTGGGTCCAGGCGCAGAGGAGGGACGATGACATGAGCAGCAGCATGGGTCCAGTCCTGGTGGTAGTACTGGTTCCCATTCAGCACAGCGTGAGCTACAGTGGTCTCAGCATGGACCACCTTACCTGGAAACAGAAAAGTAACCAGTTTACTGTCTTTTCTGAGACAATAATCACTTTTTGAGAATTATTATCAACCAGTTTAAACACAAATACAAAGCTATGTTACTCACATTGTACAGGGAAGAAGGGAATCAACACAAATATGAGTTTTTCCTTCGTTTCTTTTGTTACTATTACACCTTTTGGTAGCTTACTATTATTATCTTATGTTATTATTATTATCATGAGTTTTTTTCCTCTTTCTTCTTATTGTTAAACAACCCAGATTAAGAAGGATGTATAGGTGTACATTAGTAATTATTCTGATGCTATATGTCTACTTGTTATTTACAATCGTCATTATTACTGATATAGATTTTACTGTCTTTATTTTAACATGGTTTTAATTACCATACATTACTGAGTCAGTAAGTCATATATATTAAACTAAGATAAGGGGTAGGATTAAATAAGTTTTCACTTCTTCCTACACCTTTTCAAACAGAAAAGTGGCGGTAAGCTAATTGTTTTGTCCTTGTTATCTCTCTTACTGATAGCTTTTGTTTTTTCTTGTTTTTAAAAACGAATCAAATCGAATCAAATCAATTTTAAGCAGACAAATACTGACCCTGCATCTTAGCAGCAGCAATCATGTCTCCAGCGAGCGCACTGGACACATTCACTAGATAGATGGGACAACGTGCCTGCAATCACAAAACATCATTCAGTTATTTACACAAATTAACTAAGACTACATTTATGGCAAATATTCCAATGTACATTTTAAATGTTGACTTTGTGATTACAGGACAGAGACAGTATTTATATACTGGGGAAAAGGCCTAAACATTTTATTTCCATGTACTTTTTCAGATCAAATCAAACTCCAGTCTGAAGCTTTGATAAAACCAGAGAAATCGAGAACTTTACCCTGTTGGCGATTGTGATGGCCCTGTGAGTGGCTTCAGACTCCAGCTGCAGTCAACAACACACAAAGAAAGTCACACGATTTCAAACATTTACTATTCAGTCTTCAAAAATTCTGTAAATTATTTCTTAGGGCTGAATTAATTATTGAAATAATTGTCAACTGATTTAGAAATCAACTAATTGTTAACTTACAAAAGAAAAGACTTAAACAGACTTTAAAAAGGCCACATTGAGAGCAGAAGTTAAACAAAAACTGTATAAAAATTGATACATTTTGAATTTATGATGACATAAAAAAAACCTTTGTAAAAATATTGCATCTAAAACTCAAGTGGCAGATTCAGTTTCACCCAGTTGAAATTTTGTGGGTAAAAATCTACTACATAATTACCTTTTGTTATCCAATTATTTATTGGTTAATTAAAAATAGTCAACAGATTAGCATTTCATTAATCGATAAGAGGGATTTTAAATGAGACTTTCACATTTTGATATTAGAAGTATTTTTTGAAGACGTATCTCTTGCTACAAATAATCAGGCATATGCTAAAGGAACTTCATGTTATTACATTTTTGGCAATAAAATGTCTATTTTCTTACTTGATATAGGAACTGAAGTGTTTATTTGCATTTTTAATTTATATATAGTATGATATAAAAAAGCTCAACAATAAAATCTGCATAATGTGCCAACATTTCTTTTATCTGATCGATCGATTAATCGTCAAAACAATTGACAAAGTAAGCGACAGTTGCACCCCTATTTTATAGTGGTGAACATTGGATCCCTGTATATCATGAATATCTCTAACTCACTTACATATCTACAGCATTGTCCACAATCAGAGTCAATTTTATTAGTCAGAAAAATTTACAAGTAAATGCACCAAATTGGCTCAAAATCTCTGAAAAATTACCTCCTCTGGTCGACTTATCTCTATTCCTTCTGGTCCAGAGATTCCCAGATCCAAAGCCTCTTTGGCGCCCTGGCAGCACATAAAACACAAAGTTTACTTTTATCTCTTTTAAAAGTCAGCAAGATGATTTTCCACATTGAAAACCATCAGTCATCGTCGTACAGGTAGAAACGAGGACGCACCTCTGCCACGAGCTCTCCGTTTTCAGCGTGCACACGTGCAATGGCCCCAATGTCCTTACAGGTCTGCAGCGTCTGATACAGCTCTGAGTCCCGCAGCATCATCAGGTCTTTATAGGCCATGAACATCTGGAAGGAGTTCACGCCATGCTCCCTCACCAGGCTCTCCATCTCATTGCGTACCTGTGTGAAGAAGGAGTCACACCAGTGAGGTTCATTGCTGGTGAGGCACTGACTTAATTATAGTCAGATTTACAAATATAGACCTCCTGCATGCTCTAATTAAACACAGAACGTCACAAAAAAAAATCTAGAACTTGCTCTTGCAATGGGAACTTGTTGTAAGTGAAATAATCTGTCAATGAGTTAGAAATTTTCTGAAATTTAAATAAATGAATGACTTAATAGAAACTCCTAAATGTTGCTGAAACATTATTTGTAGTAAATTTTGAGTATCCTAAGATATTTGTGCTAGAAACCAGACCAAAATTATTTGGTGAGATTGTGTGTTTTTGCAGTGCAGGATGTAATGAAGTGTGACACATGCACATCGCCAGCAGATGATCCAGTGCAGACGCTGGAGCCAAAGGCTGAATAAGGCAGGTTAGCTCATACAATCTGACTAATGTGCCCACTGAATATGTGTATTAACCCAGTTTCTGTTAGGTTTAATCTAGGTCAGAATGCAACTTGCTCATAACTAAAAAAAGAAGGATTTACAGCTGACTCTGCGTAGAAGATAATAAAATGTGTTTTTACTGTTTTTATGCTGTTCCTCGTCTTGTTGAGCTTACCTTTGGTCCCCACCAGGTGACCCCAACATGCAGGGCGTAGTCGCAGCAGGCCTTGGCGTCTGCCAGACTGCGGCAGCTCTCGTAAGCGTCCAGCAGAGAGCAGTGCTGCTCAGGCAGGACCAGAGCCATCACCATGGTGGTACCACCCATCAGAGCCGCCTAGGTGGGGGAGACAGGGACAGCGGGTTGGTTAGGAGGAAGAAAGGATGGGGAGGAAAAACAGGGGTTTAAAACGAGAACAATGAGTCCACTGTAAAACAGAGACTCTGTTTGTCTTGAGACAATAAACCTTCCTTATGAGCTGATGTCTCATCATCAAATGGGCTTTTATTTAGTGACTGCACACAACGTGGAGAACAGAAAACAAGTTAGATGGAAAATGGAAGCAAGTCAGTGGAGATTGACTTAAACCTAAAACAAAAAAACAAAAACAAAAAAAAACTAGTTTTAATTCATTTTTCATTTTCGTTTCAGGGCTGAAACAATTAATCGGATTAATAATGATTAATCAATTTGTTAACCGATTAATAATTAACTGAAGTAAACAGACTCAAGAAAAGGCCATTTGCTTAAAGAACAACATAATCACAGCTATAATCGAGCCAAAAGTGTACAAGAATAAATATTGCATTTAAGATGAAATAAAAAAACAACAACTTTATGTTCGACCTAAAACTCAAGTGGCAGCTTTAGCTTCACCTGGTTCAAATTATATGAAAAAAAAATCTCCTATTAATTCCCTTTACTATTAAATTATTAATCAGTTAATCAAAAATGTTACACAACATTTTTCTCTTCATATCATAAGATGTTGTGGCATTTTTGGCAATAAAATGTTTATTTTGGTATGTAAAAATTAATTGATTTGTTAATTTGCATTTTTTAATAGTGAATAAAAAAGGTTTAAATGAAAAACCTGCAGAAGGTTCCAACTAATTCATTTATCTATTGGTTTTAAAAAAATCAATAGATTAATAGAAAACTAACATAGCTGTTAGTTGCAACTCTACCTTTCATGACTCTTTTCAGTGAACCTCCAGAAATGAACAACCAAATGTAAAAATATTAGAATAAAAAAGAGAAAATGTGTCAAAAGATTAAACTAAACGGAATGAAAGGAAAGAAGTGCGGGACACAGAAATAAAAATGCAGAAAAATGAGGATGTGAATTTAGCACAGCCATGACAACAGATACTGTTCAACCATGCCTGTCGCGTGTCTCCACCCTTCTCCTCCTCTTCATCATTTCTCCACTGAATACATTCAATATCCTCCCAGAAAGTCTGGTAGGATATTACAGAGCAAAGAGATCCAACAAACAGGTATTTTTTTTATAAGATATCACAAACAGATAGTGTCTAAACCATATTATTTGTAATATTCTCTGATGCTTCCTCCGTCTACTGCTCGGTCTTCAGTTCAATAACTATTGAATTATATGAAGAAAATGTTGCCACAAATGAAAACAAACAAAAATCACTGTCCTTCAAGGAACCTGGATAAAATAAAATCAGATTATATTCAAATATTCGCGTGTCAGCACTGAATCCCTGAGGCAGACTCAGATGGGGGCGGAGCCAAAGTGTTTGGAGTGACCAATGAGCTACGCCGCTTTATGATTACCATGGAAACCAGTCAGAATGATCTGCAGCATCACCGTGTGTGTGTGTGTGTGTGTGTGTGTGTAGCATCATTCATCACTGTCAGTAATGCTAATGTCTGTGTCTGTGTGTGCGTGTGTGTGTGTGTGTGTGTGTGTGTGTGTGTGTGTGTGTGTGTGTGTGTGTGTGTGTGTGTGTGTTGACATATTCATGAGGGTGTGAAAGATCAGGGATTGTGGGATTTGGGCTGCAGGGATTAAATTAAAATTTACTGCCACTCTTTGTCAGACAAACACAGAAATAAGGATTAAAAAAAGATTAAGAGACTCAAAGAGAAATACTTGTTTTGATCTTCAGGATCTGAAGTGAGCAAGTGAAAATGTTGGATTGCTGTATCACAGCCTGAAAGTTGCTGTTATCAAAGAAATATCCAAATATAGACTGCTATAAATGGCAAATATGCTGCAAAGAGACGCAACGTTTGCATCAGTAAGAAGTCTGATTATCTGTAATGTAACCTTTTAAATCAACCTCCTTGTTCTACATTAATCACGTTGTATCCATACATGGGCATCTAATCTATAGATAATCAAGAATCCTGTCACATATTTTATGCAGCATTTCATGCAGAAGTAGGAATTTCTTCTGTTACGCTTTTATATCCAATTAATCAATGAATGAAATAATAAAAAAGCACATTTGCAACAATCTCAGCTGACCAAAGTGTTTCACATCATCACAGGGAGATAAACGATAAAAAATAATAATATAACAAATATTTAGTTCTGTGAAAGTAATAAAATTGGCCGAAAAGTATCAAAAACTTACTTAATTTCATCTGCAGCGATTCAAAGAAGCACTAATATCCCCCTTTTGTAAAATATATTTATTTATTTTATGCTTCACAATCTTCTTCTTTTAAACGCTATTATCAAACTGTCCTCCCACTTGCAGAGGGTGGAGAACAAGGAGCAGCGGGGCGACGGGGCGACGGGGAGCAGGAAGGGTCAAACCGCTACGAAGCGATGGGGGGATGCAGAGAGAAATAGCTGTTGGCTTCGTAAAGATTGCGGTTGCTGTGGGAACAAAAATAAATAAAGAAAGAAAACAATGCTGGTCATGTGTGCACGAACAAACAGGCGGACTTCAGCACAGTGGAAGCGGGGGTTAGTTGCCATGGCAGCGGTGGGTCGGCACCAGAACCAGTCACTTTTTCTCAAGATCAACTCAACGCCACTCAGTCGGCGCTGAGCTGAGATACGCTGAAGTTTGACCTGCACTTAAGTCTGACTGAGACAGAAAAAGCTTTTTTTTAATGTTGTTTCTACAACTAATTCTGCTCCGTTTCTAATTCATGGATAATAATGTTGCAATAAAAACATGATAGGATATAAATGTATGTATCTGAAAATGTGGATCTTCAGGTCCTGAGAAACAAAATGTGCAAAAAGTCAACTTTAATTCTAAAATAAAAAAGACAAAGGAACACATGGGGAACAAAACAACCTCCAACACGCGTTTACCACCACAGGCAACAATTACACTCAATTATTTTCTCTCCTTTGACAGAGACAATGAGCATCAATAAGAAATGAAGTACAGAACCAATTGAGATCATATTTATCATAATAGTTCCGTTTTAGTTGTGAGGTTTTAGAGTTTGGGGTGAAAACTATTTATCCAGTAACAGATTTCTTTTATTTTTGCTTTTGTAGCTGCATAAAATCACAAACTAAGTGATTATTAATGACATGTACTGAAAAGATGAGTTAAAATTCACTAGCTGAACCCTGTGGAACTACAATGATCAGTCTGACGACATAAAGTAGACTGAAACGTCTCAATCAGCAACATATAATGCTCCAATGTAAAATAAATTCAACGGTAAGGTAAAGTACCGTAATTTTATTTCTATAGAACATTTTCATCAAAGTGCATTACATGAATTAGAAGAAAATACAAACAAAACACACCAAAAAAAAGACAAAAAGGTAAAAGTTTAAAACCACATATTGGTTCCCCATGTTTAATAAGTAGTCCATAATTTATGAACTAGAAGAGGCTTTTCTGGAATCTTGTTCTGATAAAACTAGATGTTGGTTCTCCATGTTTGGCCGGATTAGTGAGGAATCACTGAGAGGGGTTTCCAGTTCTTCTGGGTAAAAGTATAAAACTACATATTGGTTCCAAATGTTTAATATAATGCAGGTCTACTATAACAAATCTTCAACACGTGTGGAGCTGAATGCGTTTTCACTGCAATGAGACAAGACAGGCACGGTACCTTGGTTCCACTGTAGAAGTCATCTTGAATGCTGGCGTTCATAAACGTCTGCTGCAGGTGAACGCAGGTGTCGATTCCACCTGGCAGCACCAGCTTTCCAGAAGCATCGATCACCTTCGCTCCACCCGGGATCATCAGCTCCTTCCCAACCTGCCACACAACACAAACACAGCCTGAACACCACTGAGGTACGACACTGAACAAAACATTCATTGTTCTGTTGTTCGGACTTTGTTCTTGTATTGCAAATATTTTATATCACTTTGATAGTTGATAAGTGCTGAAATGATTAATCGCATTTATCACGATTAATCAGATTGTTTAAATAATTGACAACTAATTTAGGAAACGATGAATTGTTAACCGAACTATTAAGAGCCAAAAAATATAAATTGTTGAAAGAAAAGCAAATAATCAGAGTTGCAACTACGCCAAAATGTACAAAAGAAATATATACATCATGCATTTAAGATCAAAAAAATATTTGTCTGCAAATATCTTCAACATATGGGGTATAGTTTTCGCTTTTTCTGGTTCAAATTCTGTAAAAGCTTCTGAAATGTGGATGTTAGAAGTGTTTTTTAGCTGCAGACGCATCCTTCAGTACAAATGATCAATAGTCTGCTAAAAAATCCTAAGTTGTTGCATTTTAGACAATAAAGTTTTTATTGTCTTCTTCAATTGTTTTTTTCATCTTTTCACATATTTCTAATATTATCCAAAAAAGGCGCAAGTAAAAACATCTGCAGAATATGCCAATCTTGTTTTACCCAATTAACCGGTTAATTGTCAGAACAATTGATTAATTGATTAAGCCCTTTCATAAAAGAATAGTTCTTTGTGTCAAATTTATAACTTGTTCTAAACAGCAGATGCAGTAAGTTACGTAATTTGATTTGAAAGCAAATAACTGCACGAATGTGAACTAATAACTGTATATTTCTTAGATATTAAATTATTTAACATTAGTTCAATTCCAGAAATAAAAAGATAAAGTTAAGAAAAAAGGTGCAAATTCTGTGAGATTAAACCTCAGCTTTCTAGGCTGCTGAGTCAAGTCCGTCTTTTCTAAATAAAGTGATCAATATCTCCATGGCAACAACTTGGCCATCATAGTGAAGACTAATTTTAGTCTGTATTTCACTGAGTGGTAAAAACCTTTTACAACAGAGTGTTGTGAGCAGCTACTGAGTGAATGAGTGAGCTGAGGTTGGATTATGCAACAGAAAGGGGAAAAAGTGAAGTTTTTCAGTGTAACTACTATGAAATTAGGTGAGATTATGAACTTATTTTTTGTAAGTAAAGGCTGTTAAAGGGGGTTACCTGCTGTATGATGCCGTTCTCGATATAAACGTCTGCTTCCTGTGTGAAGTCATCATTCACCACCTTCCCTCCCTTGATGAGGATGCGCATGGATCCCATGTTAGCAGCCATGATCCTGCAGGACGGAGAACACTGAAATTCAATATATAAACATATTCAACTGAGCAAAATCCACACCTTCCTCAATGTGTTGGGGCTGCGGTCAGTTAAACATTTCCCTGACGATTTCTTTTACGACTGCAAAAAGGTTCTTTCAAGCACAATTTGTGAACTTTAATCCGTAATTCAGTTTCTATACAATATGAAATAGTAATTTCAATGCTTTAATTTGTTAAATCTAATGCAGATTGAAGGGCCAGCTTTTAGAAACCCACAAAAGCAATGAAAAAGGCCCTTTTAGATTCTCAGTGGGGGTAATTTCGGCTTCTCAGCAACTCTGAAATGACAGTTTTACTGGTTAAAATATCCATTTGTAATGTGGCGAATGTAAAACAGATGATAAAATACAAGAAGAACTACCTTCTCCAAAATCAAGCAGATGATCACCATTCAACATATGAAGACAAAAACATGCTAATTAATTTATGCTAACACACTAATTAGCGTTGATTTTCTGCTTTATGAGACCCATTCAGATTCAGCGCCCAACAGCTATGACTGCTAGCTGTAATAAGTTCATTATAATAAACATATTCATGTGGTTTGCCTGTCTCATTATCTGGTGTTTTAAATAATGCATGTTTTAGGCTAAACCTCCAGTTTCCTCCAGTAACCTGATGGGATCAACAAGCTAAAGCGGCTCCTCAACAAGAATCTCTCTGTGTGTATTCTGCATGGATGGCTGCATGCAATGTGTTTGATAGCAGCACACAATAGACTCTCAGTTATACAAAATCAACACAAAGGAGGAGAACAGAAAGAGAGTGGAGGAAAGAGGGGTGCGCACGGGGAAGACCGAGAACACAATCATGACAAAAGTTTATAAAGAATTTATATTGTAGTCTATGGAAGGAAAAGTCTCAAAAATATCCCCAATTTTGCTTCCTAGTAGTCGATATCCATTTATTCCAGATAATTTAGACCTGTAGTTTAATCAGGTCAGACTCCAATATTGCCTTAAGTAGACTAGAAAGTGGTGACCGGAGAAATAAATCAATTTACTGATAACAAAAGAAAGTAGATGATTGCACAAAGATGCTGCTGCCTGAGGCGGTTGGGTAAACATGACGTTGGAGGGGCGTGCAGCATGGAAAGCAGAGCCATGAGGGCCGGACAGCCTGAATAAGAGCCTGGTTTCCCTGGAGGAGTGAGCTGGAGAGCATTCAGAAGGAAACCAGGCCGCACACAAACACACTGATGTTCAAATGACTCCAAAAGACGCAGCGGTCGTAATGGCTTAACGTCGGTGAGGTTTTATAAAAATTTGTTTTAACACAATCATACACTATTAAAGAAATCAAAGTTTTTAGAAATGATGCAGGGATTTTTTTTCTGATGTTTAACCAGATTTTAAAATGTTGGTACATTCTGCAAATGTTTAACTTCATCACTCTCACCTTTTTATACCATACCATATATTTAGACAAAAATAAACAATTCAATTCCTCTTTAAAATTAGAAAATAAATATTTTTATGCCTAAAACACAATAACAGCGTTCCTTTAGTGAATTTGAACAGAGGGGAAGCTAAAACTATGACACTGTTACTGACTTAAATACAAATTGTGTATAGTTTGCACAACTCTCAGTGTGTTATTCTTTCAGAAAACTGCCCTTTTAAGCTTGAATACTCCAAGTAACAATCAATTGATAGGCCTATCATGATCACAAATTTTGCCAAACGATACATTGGAAGTTATTGTGATAAACGATATTATTGCTGTTTTCAGACCAATTTCATGTTATATAATGATAAAGGCATAATAATGCAAGAACACATTCTCAAATATGCACTTTAAATTTCAGTGAATATTTAACACTGGAAGCAAAAGACATTTCAAATATTCAAAAGAAATAAATAAAATGAATTATAAAGTGAAACTGAAACCAACAAACTTTTCTCTTTTGTTAAAACTGCAAAAAAAGACACAAAGTAAGTGACTTTGAGAGAAAAGGGAACAGTGGAGTTGAAATAAACTAATCTAGACAGAAAGAAAGTTATTTTGGTTTCATATTCTGACTTTCATGACCGAAAGGTTGAAGCTGTTGTCACCATTTCTGTCCTGGGAATCAGAACTGCTGCCACTGGACACTGCAGGCTCTGTGTGTCCATAAAGACTTTAAGGCTGGAGGAAATTAAAGGTAACTTATACAACTGACACTCTGAACAGTAACTCCCTTCAAGTTCACAAACATGTGCAGTCCAAGAGCATTTTAAAAGAGGGGAGATTAAAATCCTGCTGCCAAATGAAGGATTTTAGCTTTCGAAGGCGGAGTTTTATTTTTGGATACTGCTCTGTTCAAATGTTTTTATGAAAATCTAAAAATATCCAAATATTTTGTAACAAAAACACAGAGTGGTGTCTAAACTATGTATCACAATCATGAACTATATATAACGTGTTATTTTTCCTACTCTTGTTGAATCCCTTTTCTGGCAATATTTAGTTGAGTTTCTACTTGGGAAAAACTTTCTGTCATGAATCATTGGTTATTTTGTTGCCTACGAATAATAGTTGATTTTCACATTTGACATAAAACAAATACTTAGTGTGCTTTTATCCTTTATGAATTCTAATTAAGCACAATAAACAATAAATAACCACATGATAATTCCCATTTGATCAACAATTCCCAATATAAGTCGCCATTTTGAGAAACGCTGCGTTTTTATGGACTTTTGACAATTTTCCTTTGTTTCATTTTGTCTCGGTAATAGTGATGAAAGTTTGTAGTTTTGGTACCCAGAATGACGTAGTCTGCACTACCTGCCCCTTTTGCCTGTTTTCCTTGCCAAAGTTGAATGGCTGTTATTTTTTAAATACAATTTTGGTTACAGAGACTTAATAATTAATTTTAATTGTTGTTGTTTAATTTGTTTTGTATACTTAAAATGTTTTCTGGTTCTAGTGTCAAATATTTTTTAGAAATTAGTTTGATTTTTCAAATGGACGTACTTTCCATTACATATTCCATTACATGAAAATATTCTCATTTATCTCAATAATTTCTGGGACAATTTATCATTCTGCAAAATGTATTATTGTGACAGGCCTAATTCTAATTATTACATATTTGAGAACTGAAAAAAACAAACTAACTTAGTAGAAAGACCTACCTTCGATGTTGAATCACAGTCCCAAATTCTTGGAAAAGTCTCTTTGATTTAAACATTTAAAACTGATTTATATAAATGTATATAACCGTTAGTGTTTAGCTGGAAGAAGCGGTTCAGACCTGAACTGATTGCTTTTTAAGGGTCAGATGACAAAAACGTGAGTGGGGCGTTCATAATCTCTAGAAGACTCAAAGTGTATCCAACAATAGGTGAAAAGTGCGCATGCCTTAGATTTAATAAGTGACTGTGTGTTTGCTTTCTGCTGCATCATGGCTGTCATAACAGGCAGGAACGAAAACAGAGAGCCACACACAGTCGCCAGCCAGGCAGTATTTCTCACGCATGCTGCGAACGGCTGCTTCAGCACTTACATGCATGCATGGACTAACGCCTCACACACACATAAATACACACACTGAGTTCAGTAGGATGCAATCGTCTCATAAGAAGCCAAACTGTTCTGCTTTCTGCAAGCGGTTTTTTAACGAGGTGCAGAATTAATAATGGATGAGGAGCAAAGTCACCATATGGCATGAACACAAAGTCACACACAGCTTTAAATAAAATAGCATCTACAAAGCATTAAACATTCACTTTTACAGCTCTGTGTTAATTTAAAACAATTTAAATAAAACCAAAAAAATATTAGAACTGAAACAATTAATCACGACAAATCGTGATTAATTGATTAGTGCAATAATCGTCAAAAAAATTTGTATAATTGTTAACTGGACACAGACTCCAAAAAAGGACCAATTAATGAAAAAACCAATACAGTCAGGGCAGCAAGCGAGCAAAAAATGTTAAAAAATTTACACGTTTTTTATTTAAGATGAAAAGAAAAAACTTGCTTTGTACCTACAACTCCTCAAATAACTTAGTTTTAGCTTCTGGTTCAAGTTCTGTAAAAAAAAAAAATCTTCTAGTAAGCAACTTTTTAATGCAATTATGAATCAGTTAATACAAAATAGTCAACAGATCAGTAATATATTGGATTGATGTTAAGATAAGCAGAAAGAGCTTCTCATATGTTAATGTTAGGAATATTTTTTAGTTGCAAATGCATCCTTTTCCGTTATTGGATTTTAGGCAATAATATGCCTAAAATTAATTTAATTCTTATTTTAAAAAGAATTAAATTGCTAATTCTTATCATTTAATATATTTCTAATATCTAATTTAAAAAGCTGAAGTGGTTAAATGAAAAATCACCAGAATAATGAATAATCATAAGAATAATCGATTACTAAAATAATCATTAGTTGCAGCTCTACAAGATAAGACTGGAAAAAGCCTTGGCTTGAATTCGACACGTACATCTGCTGGCATCTTTAGATGTGTGTTTCTGAGGCTACAATTTGGGTCTAAGTGTCGCTGCACCCTGCAGGTGAGAAGAAACGAGTAGCTGCTGAGTCCAGCTTGATCTGGATAGTAGTTGCCATGGGGTCAGACGGTGTGCAATACACACAGTGTGACAGTCAATGTAAACGTGTGTGAGCCCCTGAATCTGTGTGAACTGTGCAGCTTCTTAAATGCATGAGCAAATGTGCATATTGTGTTAAAAATAGACATCAAAATAGGAAACAGTGCTTACATTTACATTAACAGCACCTAGACAGTTTTTCATCATAGTAGATGAAATATACTCTGATTTATCTCTGTTTATGGGACTAAAAGCTGATCTGTGCAAGCCTGTATGCTTTGGGAGTGGTACTGATTACAGATGGTCAACACGGATTCCACATCAGGATGCTCACACTTAACTGCAGAGCTATAAAAACCAAGACGGATCTGCAAAGTAAACTTGCAGGACATCTTAGTAATTGTTTTCTCTTCCCTATTAAGTGAGGACAAATAGATGAAATACTTTAAAATCATCCAGTCATTGCATCGGAACACCAAACGTTCACCATAGGTCAATAATTTTTCTTCACATTTTTTAATATTTGTAATATTCAACAGCATCCTTGCTAATGTATTCATGTTATTTTTCTGCACCAGTAAAGATGCCCAAAACCAAGTAATGCAAAATATCTCAGCACCATAAACAACAAATCCATCCTTCCCAACAAAGCATGAAGGAATTAATATTAACTTATTCTGCTACATTAAAATAACCGCACATAAAAATCTAGGTTGGCCTGTGTGAACCATCATCTTTACCATGACTCATTGGATTTAGATGAAAAGAGAACAACCAACCAACAAGATAATAGACTTACATAACGCATACACGCCTTAATTGTAGTGACACGCGACAAAAGGACAATCAGAACTCACCCATGTTCCTTCACAAACGGCACAAGATGTCATTTCCCCACAAAGCAAACCCTCCATTTTTAAACGGGTTTGAAATCATTTCCTCCCCCACATTGGCTCACTTTAATTATTTTTATTCAAATAAATCCAAAATAAGCAACAGGAACCGATGGCATACATATATAGTAACAGGACAGAGCGAAAATCGAGCGGATTTCGAGAAGAACATTGTCGTTATTAACGCTTAAAAGGCGTTTAATACACTATTTATCAACGTTAGAGGACTAAAAGCCAAACAATTATCCCACTTTGATCAGCAGGTGTTTACATCCAAACCATACACCGTTACATCTTGGTTGTTTTTTGTCGTTACTGTTTTCCTACCGTTTATATTCGTGGATTCCGACACCGTCCTCCTCCGGCGGAGCTTCTGTCTGTCGGTCCGAGCACCAGCCGAGTGCGCGAGGACAGCTGCCACAGCGCGAGCCGCAGATGCTTCACGGCTGACCGTCAAGCAGCACCCAATCGGGAGCCGTTTGAAGCCGACAAACGGCAAAAAACGGACCAATCACAGGCCGTAGTCTCTCCCGTTACTCGGGAGACAGGGGCGGGTCTTCACAGCCTCTGGAAATGTGCTGCGTTCAAATGCTTGGAAAGAAGTATGTTTCTTATCTCACTTCTGTATGTTTTTTGCTCTCATTGGATTTGTAATAACTTAATAACTTTTTATTTCGTCGGAGGATCAATACATTTTCGATCAATAGGAGTGAACTTAATTGACCCCTACCTTCCCTCAAACGTGGGTGACTCTGATTTCTTTCTTAAAATAATGTCATTAAAAGTAAAACTCCTAAACCTTCTTGAAAGCAACATCATGATATGTCTGACTGTTGTGTTGGGAATACAGAAGCAATGATTATTTTTAAATGTATAACAAAAAGTAAAGTATTAGTTAACTTCTATGCTTAAGGGAATTTAGCAAATATAAATGATATAAAATATTGTAATTCTTACTGACCTTAAAAAGGAAAATCTTATCTAATTTAATATTACTGATTCAACTATACTTGTTGAATAATAGATAAATTAGAGGCAATACTTCAACTTTCTCAACACTGCTGCAGTTTTAAAATGTTTGTTTATTTTACTATAATACAGTGAAAATACTGAGTATTTGACCATAAAATACACCAAAATTAGAGGAGAAAAATTTTCTCAAAAGAGCTTAAACTAATTTTATCGCACAATCATAACTAGCAGTATTTAAAAACCTGCTCTTTTGTACACTCTTAATGAGTTTACAAAACATCAATTGAAGTTTAAACAGAAATTGATATAAAAAGATCAAATTAAATAACAAAGGTTGGTTACACAGAATCACAAGAAACAGTCGTTTTTTTTATTCACATATATTTTACATAGTTCAAGTACAAAGTTAAAATTCCTTTTTAATTAGTTTATATTCATACAAGAGCAAAATCATAATAGTGTCTTTCTACAACTACAACTTAAATACAGTCATAGTAAAGACCAATTTGATTTTACTCCTAACAATATATTTTCTGATAAAATTTTAGCACCTTTTGAAACACCAACAGGTCTTCCTTTTCCTAAAAGCTCCTCATCTTTCATTTAGTCCATGAGATGAGTGTCTGCATGCGCCGCAGTGTTGTATTTGTAGGTGTTGCATGTGTCTGAGCGAACGTTGCTCTGTCGAACGAAGTGTTTCTGAGATGTTTGTTTGCAGTGTATGTGTTGAAAACAGCGCATCACTCAGCCTAAAAGCTGTCGATAGGCGAACAGAAACATCATCACCGCGTCGCCCATCGTTTAGAAAGAGCGACTGGGTTCCTAATCACTTTTGCCGTCTTCTGCTCTCAGACAGAAATGTGTTGAAACATGATTTTTTTGTTTTTTTTAAACGAACCAGAATGTGCTTTTCGGTTTTTCTCATTATGAGGAAAACTTATTTATTTATCAAAAAGGATGTTAAAGAAAGATTTAACAGCCATATGTTACTTCTTCAGATTTTAGATAATCCTTTTAATTATCAGCATGTTGCTCCAATTATCCTTAACAAATGAAGCTACAAAAGTTATCACATGGTCAAAGCAAAAACTAAGAAAAAAAGAAAGAAAAGCCTTATTTTTAAAGTTGCATTTCTCTACCTTGAGAAGACAACGCAGAATTTATACACAATTAACTAATTTTTTTCGCAAACAAAATTGTTGAAGTTGAATAATATAAATTCTTAATTACTAGAGGACTTGAAAAACACAGTAATCATTCTAAATTTCATGTTAAGTGATGGTATATTTCTTTACTTTAAATTTGATGAATGGATAGCAATCTAAAATTTTTAAGATAGCTCTTAAGGTTAGATGAATAAATTGTTGACATATTTGTGCTTCCTGAGTCTAAAATAAAAGTGTTATCTTTCACATTATTCCCAGTCTGCTTCTGATTGACGACTCCTTTCCTGTGAGCTGCAGCAAAGTACTTTGAAAATACATAAAAACAAAACAATGTTTGTTCAATATGTCATTTTCTAATTGGTCTATTTGAAGTGTTTGCTTATTTCAACTACAATCAGAAAGTAATTATGTTTTTTGGGATTAAAATTTGAGAACACTCTAAAATTGTTCCAAAAAAATTAAGTGATGCCATAAACACTTCTTATTCCAACTTAAATAAGATTTATTTTTGTTTTAGGGTGCATTCACAACAGTCCTATTTAGTCTGCTTTAATTGAACTAGAAAGTCCAGTTCGTTTGGGGAGATGTGAATGTGAAACCGGACCAAAATAAACAATCTTTTGTCTGCCTAAACCTGGACTCGGTTTGGTTGCAGTGAACTCTGGTGAGGTTTGAACGCTAAGTGGACTGGAGACGGTTCCAAAAGCAGGAAGTGAACTACAGCGCAGGGAATTCTGGGTAAATACAACCGAAACAAACGTTTGTCTAGCACTAGCTGAATAAAAGCATTGTGGTTTTAATCACTACTCAAATTGAGGTTGCATTTTACAAAAAAGGAAGTTTTTCCTTAGGAGTATTTTGTGCGGTTTCCTTCCTCTCTTCTTGATGTAGCGCCACCACAGGCGAGGAGGGGAACAGATTTTTTAATTAGTGAACGCGAACTGCATCAACTAAAAATGTAACAAATGTTGTAATTTTGGTCCCAAATAAAACAGTTTATCGGACTTTCAGGTGAGAAAACAGCCTTGGACTTTTCATGACACAGGAAAGGACTTGTTTCACGTGGTTCTGATTTTATTTCTTTTGCTTGTTTCAACTCATTTCTGGTCTGAGACTTTTGCACAGCTCATCTTTCCTACTATTTGTCGTGGCATTCTCGAGTACAATAGCACAAGTCACTATACTAACTGTAAATATGCTTTCTCTAGCCTCTCTCTCCCCTATATCTGTAGGCCGAGACTGAACTGAACTGAGCACCAACCTGGAACAGTACACACACACACAATAACAGATTATTATTGTAATTATTATTATCATATTATTATTATAATAATTATACTCCCTAATCTAACATGGAATCAGAGATTACACTGACTGACTGACATGCAGCACCTGGGGGGATGGCGATGGGAGGGAAATCACCGAGCACCGAGCGATGCGGGGAATCACCCTGCAGCGCCTGGGAAGCCTGACCGCAAAACAGGCGACGAGCAAAGAGCACAGTATGCATCTGTTTGTTTTTGTTTACAAGAAGCAGAAAAGCCGGTCACTGTATGTCCAGCAGATGATTGTGTGTTGTTTTTGACCTGCAGAAAGAGAGCCACTGTAAAAAAGAGCTTAAAGAGTTTAAAAAGCACCTGAAGGTTGGTTGTATAAACGGAGAGTAAACACGATGGAAAAGACGTCGAGCCTGCTGGTTGACTTGAGAGGCTGTGCATGTAGTTTGTGTACGTGTGCGCCCGCGATAAGACTGCATGAGTTCAGTTGTTAGCTGGTATCTGAGAAAGGTTCAGCGGACTGGAAGGCTTCCTGGAAAAGAGGGTCGACTGCCGACCACAAGCACCAGACTGAAAGGTTTTCTCCAAAGACACCCCTGTGTAAATAATCCATCCATCAGTTCACGGATCTGTTAATCTCATAGTTAAAATGGAAAGAAACTGAGATTGTTCCATTGTGTTTTGAGTATAAGGAAGAATAAACATCCAACAGAGGTGTTTTATTTACACAGGGTTATCCGTTTCAGTCACAGGAAGTAGAAAACCAGCATAGTGTCTAAAGTAAAAGTCGGGCTCTGATTTCCGTGGATGCTGCTGTGTCGTAACTAAAGCACAAAGTGGATCTCTGTGAGCACAACTCCTGGACAACTGGATGACCTTTTCACCAGACAGAAAGAAAAATGAGCAACAACTGGAGTTGAGGCACCAGAGAAGCTTCACCATAACAGGAGGGCAATCTAAACGCTGCTGCAGTAACAATACTGAATCCCACAAAGTCCTTGACTGTTTCAGTTTAAAATCTCTTGGAGACAGAGCTGTTCTGAAAGGAGAAATTGGCGACTTTAAACCTCATTTAATGGTGCTGGTTGGAGAATTACACAGACATACTTGCTAACAGAAGTATGTTAGCAAGTAAGAAAACTATGGGCCAGTTAGCAATGCAGCTAATGATTATTTTAGTAACAATATTCTATTGATTATTCTGGTGATTACGACAAAGTGGAGGGCAAGACTAATAAAGTAATATAAAAAAATAAAATAGCAAGAATAAAGTTATAGCAAAATATGAATAAAGTCAGAATATTACAAGAATAAAGTAATAATATTACCAGAATAATGTTGGAAAATTACCAGAGTAAAGTCTTAAAATTTACCAGAATAAATGAGTAAAATCACCAGAAGAAAATCCAAGTAATACAAAAATAAAGTCATAAAATTACCAGAATAACATTGTATAAGAATCTTACTTGTAAAACAAATAAAGTGTAATTTTGCAAGACGCTTAAAAGACTAAATTTTTGTCACATTACAACTTTATTCTCATACGTTTATGACTTTATTCTCAATATTTTATTCTATGTATTTATTCTTCACCCGGACTCTGACTCCATCGCTGGCAATTAATCAAGTAATCAGAGAAGATTGTCATGTTGCACTGTATCTACTTATTTTATGAGCAACACAAAAACATGAAAAATATCAAGTTTAGCTTCTTGAGTGTACGCATGAACAGTTTATCTTCTATCTAATGTTTTGAATTTTATGAAGATGTTAAGTTGTTTTAGAACAAAAAAACTATAAATCAACCCAACGAGATTTTTTTAGAATCAGAAAAGCTCTGCCTCAAAGAAATTTTATCCCACTCTTTTCATACACAAAGTCACTATGTATGGTCCCAATGTTTACAGTTCACACCTTTTTTTTGTCTTTTTCTTTTTGCTAAACATGTCTAGTTTAACTCAGGGAAATAAAAACAATTCAGCGACTAAAACAACAACAACAACAACTAAAAAACAGAGACTGTTGAGCCTCCAAGAGCACCAAAAACTGTAGAAGTGTTGAGTTTAGGTGGCACCATTTGGACTCCATTACCACCAGACTAGCACCACGAGGATT